TCCCAGGCCTTCAATTCAATTTTTTATATAATTTTCCTCATTAGTCCAATCATCTGGTATAACGATTTCAGAGTTTACCCTAAAGGCCACCCAGACTAATTCATCTCAAGGTCGATGCAGCACAAAAGAGTACAATGGTTAGGAGTGACACTCCATGTTGATACGAGAAGCTTGTTTGTTTGGTATTAATCATGTGGAGCAAATGATGCAGCACACTTCCTGGGAACAGACGAGCGGTATGAAAGGGCACTTTGTTACAGAGTGCACGACAGGCAGCAACCGTGGTGAAGCAACCATTCAACGCCCCAAGGCCTCAATCCCTGCATCACAACCGTGGGAGAGGGGAGAAAAATGTCAAAAGTGCATGGACTATAGCAGAAGGTGACTATCATATGAGAGATGGAGGACAAAGAGAGACCCGTTTTAGATATTATCTGGGGTTTGTGCCTTGTCTCTGCTAAACACTTCCCTAGAGTATGTTCCTCAGTGCTTGATCCAATCTACGTTTAAATAAGAGCATCACAATGGCCCGACTGGGTCAGACCAAAGGTCCATCCGGTGCAGTAGTCTGTCTTCTGCCAGTGGCCAATGTCAGGTGCCCTCATAAGGCATGAACAGAAAAGGGAATCATCCAGTGATTCATCCCCAGTCTCCCATTCCCAGCTTTAGATAAACAGATGCTAGAGACATCACCCCTGCCCATCCTGGCTAATAGCCATTGATGGACCTCTCCCCCAAGAATTTCTGACATAGTTGAGTCTCAGAGTAACCTTTACTCTAAAGTAATTGAGGTCCAAGTACGTTCCTTTGAGTCTAATGGATCAACAGACCTTACCGTTAAGAATGTCTCCAAACCGACATTTCCCTTTGCTTAAGTTCATCTTATTGCGTAGTCAGTGTTCACGCACACGAAAGCTTCTTTCCAGAGGAAAGTTGTCAGTGCTCCTGAAATTAGCACAAGAGAAAAAAAATTGTGTGTAGGCTAAATCTGGGGTATCCAAAACCCTGCCAAAGTCTGCAATTTTTCACCAGGGATGAAAGTGAGCTATCCAGTACGCAAAATTAGGCCTTTCTGCTGTTTGTGTGTGTGTGTGTGTGTCTATGCTCCAAAGTTGCCTATGCCATTGAAGAAAACTTGGAAGAGGATAGATGAGTATTGAACCCATAATGTAGCTGAAATACTGTATATCTGCAATGCAAAACAGTAGAAATAGTTTTTTTATTTAACCTTGAATGCTGGTGCTTGAGGAAAGGCAGGTTTAATTAGAGGAGGACGAGGAAGTAGTGGGAGATTCTGAAGGGGACTTCTGGACCCCCCATCCCCACCCCACGGGCTATACCCAACCCCCATTCAACAGGAGGAGGCGAGCACAGGCCAGAGGACTCTGGAGGACCCAGGAGTGGTGCTGCCAGATGCAGAGAAATGATGGTTTGCTCTTCAAAGTGCTGCCCCTCTCCAGCCGCTGGTGGCATGGCCAATCCTGCGCCTACAGAGTCCCCCAGCAAGTACTTGCGCTGCTAGGGTTGTGAACAGGTAACCAATTAACCGGTAAACATCACCCTTCCTGGGTGATGCTTACCGAGTAACACTTAACCAGTTCCCCAGGAGCATCCGCCACTTGTGGCCTGCCATGGGTGGAGGGCTGCTTCAGACCACGGGGCCCTCACACGTGGCCAGCAGCTGGCACACTGTGCTGTGCGGTTGGTAGCTGGGGCCACGGGCCAGCCCCAGTAGTCAACCGTGTGTGGAGCTGAGAGCAGGCGCCCCACAGGTTAGGGGCTTCTTCCGTCAGGCTGAAGAGGCTTGTTGACTGAGCAATTCACTAACGGGTTTTTGCCCTACAACAGCAGTAAATGTCATTGGAAAAAGAGATGTTAGCTACTCAATTTCTTCTACAAGGTATGTCAAGGAAGACGTGACAGGGTCTACAAACCCCCTATCAGGCAAGAGGAGGTTCACAGAGCAGGTTTGGGCTCAGGCAATCCCTGTGCCTACCCTCTCACCTCCCCATAGCCAACCTTGGAGGAGGAACTTTGAGAAAGGGAGGTCAGTTCAGAAGGCCTCAGCCTGGGGAGATGAACAGTCCTCTCACCCTCAGCTCATAGAGGCCTTTGGTTGACTGAACACAGAGCCACAGCCACATGGCTAGAGGAACTGGGCAGGACAGAGACTTTGGAGCCATCTTTTTCTGATAACTTATTCCCTTTGGCTTTCTCTACCGTGCCAATTGAGCGACAAAACCCCTCCTAAAAGACAAAAAATTTGCCACAGCAAAAGACAGGAGCACTCTCCTGTCAACAACGCAAACCCCACTTGTTTGGTGGCGGGGGTGGAAGTATTTTGTCGGCAAAAGTGCCAACACAGTGTTCACACTGCCTGACTTTTAGCGACACAGCCGGATTGCTAAAAGCTGAGCAGTGTAGACAAAGCAAAAATTGACGCGCGGTCTGAAATTAGGCCTCTGGCCCCAGGGTAGACTCCTGCTGAGAACAATCCCTCCCTCCCCGGTCCCATCTCCCAGAGATGTAGGAAGTAGCCCCATGGGAAAAAAAAAAATCAAGAAGTCTGCCCAGGCAGATCTTATCCACTTGCTACAGAATTCCTGAAGCTGGAACCCAGAGAAGAGGGAGGAACTTGAGTTCCCCTCTACCATCTCACCAGGAGGACTAGGCACAATGGATGAGAAGGACTGTTGGGCCTGGATGAAGGCCTTCAAGATTCACCAGCCTCTTCAACTTGAGGGGAGTTTTCCCTTAGCTTGAATTATGTTTCTCCTTAGTACAGAACATAATGAGATGTCTCTGAGCCACAGTATGTAAGGATCCTGTGACAGAATAGATACGGAGACTAAACTACTCCCCATCTCGAGTGTAGGGTTGAGATCCATTACTGCTGCTCATATAGTACGTGTTCTGTGGCTACATTATCACATGCATTTCAAGCCCACCCCCCCTTTCTCTTGCCAGGTGGCAACAGGCCACTTGAACACTTTTCACCACAGCTGAACTCATTTTCAAAACAATAAAATGCTACACAGCAGAACACCAGTGCCTGAACTATCAAGCAGGGAATGAGATGTTTACTTGGAGCCCTTGGACATGTGTGGTGGTTGTAGCTTCATCATTATACCCGTGTTCCTCACAGAGAATGACGTACAAAGGCCAGGTGCTGTTGCTGATGGTTATCTGGGAGGTTTAATCACCAATGCATTTGGAAGGGGTTGGGCTTTTCTCCTCCACAGTGCAAGAAATTACTATGCAGTCTTACGACGTTGCTTTCCTGAGAGACAAAATCCTCATGGCTAGATGCCCTTTAGCAACACCTTCAGACTGTACGCACTGCTAAACATAATGCAATATTATTTGGAAGGCAAATTTTACAGAGAATATTTAAGTTATGTATGAAAAGCTTCTCTTGATGTATTCCAGAAAGGCCGCTGACACTATCACCAGAGTGCGTGGAACCGAAGAGCAGCCATGTTTCACACGAAGGGCTATTCCTCTGATACAAGCAGCCAGGCACCATATGAAACACCGGCATTGTCGGACCTTCAGAAGCTGTTCTGGTTCAGAGGAGGGTCTGACAATCATTTGGACCAAGTCTGGCCAAACCTATTCCTGGGAGATGCGTAAGGAGTCTGTTGTTACCTGCACACTGGAGCAGTAGAGGGATGGAGTGGTGGGGGATTACACTGTTAGCAGAGCTATGCTCGCGGCACAGGGTGCCAAAGCCAAATACCGTGACCGTCGGCCTCAAGTGGTTTGGATGTCGCGAAAGCTTGACATGCACACGTATAACTTACTCATAGTCTGTCTGAACTTTGCTTTCTATATTCCAGGGATTTTAGCTTGCTTATGTGTCATGAACATTGATTTTTTTTGTGCGGGGAGAAAGTCTTTATCGTCTCCCAATATTTAGGGTTTGCATTTATAAAGGCATCAGCTTTAAAATAGAAGCTTATGTATCGCACTGTATTGGAAGTGAACTCACATAGTTATGGTACAAAGCCACTCTTTCAAGTGATATTCAACAGCTATTGTTTTATTTATCTGTTAACTCTAGTCACCTCAAATAAAAAAAGGTGTCTATTTCCCTTCATAAACAACAGTGCTTAGAAGTACCCAACTGAGAACACTGTCTCATTGTGCTAGGCACTGTATATATACATGCTAAGAGACAGTCTCTGCCCTTAAAACCTTATGCTCTAAATAAGATAAATAATGGATGAGAAAGGAAAGATTATTATGCCCATTTTACAGATAGACAACTAGAGGTTCAGAGAGGTCCAGCTTCAGGAGTCAGAATAAAGAGAAAACAAAATCCCATAAGTAGGTAGGAGGGGCCCCCACAGATGCAAAAATGGAATTTCTTTTACCAGCTTATAACTTAATATCTAAATATATTCTACAATTCCCTTGTACTTGTGGCAAAAGAGAATTTGCTATGCTATTTGGCCTCCCTGTCATCCACCAGACAGACACTTCGGCCTATTCCTATGAACCGCTTTTCATCCAATGATCTTAAAGGGCTTTGAGATGTTTGTTCACATGGAGCCCACCTCATGGAGGTTGTGGGTGAATTCCAGAAGTGGAATCAATGTGGAAGTGAAAGGAGAATGCTAACTATTATCCCTTGGCTCTAATCACTGAACAACATTCCCCATGATTAACTACAAGGACTGAGTATGGGTCCCTACTCATGTAGCTCCTTCCCTTAAGTGACAGTCAAGGACTGAGTATGGGTCTCACAGGGTAGTCCCTACTCATGTAGCTCCTTCCCTTAAGTGAGAGTCCTGCCTTCTCCCTCTATGCTGTGTGCTGTCACCATTAGGCATTGCGTCTTCCTTCTCTGCACACTGCTTGGGTCCTGGATATTTTCTGGTATGCGGTGCCTCCTTCCAAGGTGACTCCTCACTGCCACGTGCATAGGGTGCTGCCCCTTGCGAAAAATCAATACTACTAGCTGGCAAGGAGTGTGACGCCCAGGACATGATGGACTAATGAAGTACAGAAATAGAACCACAGCGAAGGAACAACGAGACCCAAGAGTAGCATAACGAAGAGGGGCTTTACTGGAACAGGAAAACAGGAGAAGGGAAGAGTTAAGGTTAACTATAAAGGACTAAATATTAACAAACAAACAAATCCCTCACCTTCCAACACTCACAATTTATTCCAGCTCCCAGATTGGCATCTTCTCAGGCACATGGGATCTTGAAGTTGAATCCTGAGATGGAATGTTGCAGCACTGTGACATGGGCAGTTTTCAGTAGAAGTCCGTTTATTTTATTCTTCATCCCTGGGCGGGCCAGGATCTTCTCTTGACTCTTATCAGACTTGCTGTTTACATGGTCTAGAATCCTGGGAAAGTCTTAGCTGGCTCCCGGTAGCTGGCACACTCCAGGCAGCTCCGAGGGCTGACTGCCCCAGCCCCGCCCCGTCTGCCTGAGGCCCCGCCCCTTCCGGGAGCATGGAGCTGAACCCCACCTCCCACCTTGCCCAGGGGCCTGGTAAGGCTGTCGGCCCCCTGCCCCAGGGTGAGTGGGCACTAACATTAAACAGTGCTATTTTAATGCAGAAAGCCAGCAACGATCTCGGGGCAAACGTCATCCTCTTTCAACAGATGGGCCGCTAGAAGCAAAGCGACTCTTCAAAGCCTCAATATTACTCACGTCCTCAATGCAGCAGATGGGCCGTACAGTATCAACACGGGCGCCAGATACTACCGAGATCTGCAAGTAGCGTACCATGGCGTGGAAGCGTTCGACGACCCTTCCTTTGATTTAAGTGTCTTTTTCTATGATGCGGCTAATTTCATACACAACGCCTTACGCTCACCGGGAGGTAAGGAGATTATGGGCACTGGGTGCGGAAGCGCTTTGCTGAATGGGCCCTATCGCTGTAACTCTATCGTTGCCCCGAGAAGCAACATGAACTAGTGGGCTGAGCCGAGGCAGGCAGGTCTGGGCCAGGGCTTGCTAACGTCACTGGGACTCTTGCCAGTCGCTATGAGGCTAACGGCCTAGCAGCAGGGAGTTTAGAGGGGTCACGTTCGCTCTGCTCCTGGCTGGCTGGGTGCTCTTTGGGAGCTCTGATCACCCTCCACTTCTTCCTTCTGCAAAAGGGTGGCTGAGCGCCTCACGGGCCTGGGCCACCAACTGCTTTGCGTCACTGGTTCTCCACAAGAAAAGGGGGGCTCCTGGCCCCTTACCTCCTCGCAGGGGGGCGGTGAGCACTCGTGGTCACACGGTGCTTCAGAAAGGGGACGTGGTCTCGAAGCAGGAGCACCAGGTTTGCAGAAACATTGGTGGAGCCCGCGACCCTCCCCAGCACCTGCCTAAGGCTCTGGGAGGGAGTTTGGGTGGGAGAGGGATGCGGGATCGTGGAGGAGTTTGAGTGCAGGCTCTGGGGTAGAGCGGGGGGAGGGGGGGAGTTGGGAGTGAGGGATGCAGGCTCTGGGTAGGGGGGGTGGCAATTATCTGGAGCACCCCACTCTGTCAGCAGTTCCTAGGTGGGGAGCGGGGGGGGGGGTCTGTCCACCACCTCTGCCTTCGCAGCTTCCCATTGGCCACAGAAGCACTCAGGGCAGGGGCAGCACCCATAGAACCCCCCCCTTTCCCCCCCCCCCCCCCACACACATCCAGGGACTGCAGGAATGTGCCGGCAGCCTTGCAGAGCAAGCGGCAGGAAGCTGCTCCAATCCTTCTGCGTCATCAGTGGTGGCCCTGCGGCCATTTTAAATTGCCTGGAGGCAGCAGAAGGGGATGCATGGGGGGGTAGCGTATGGGGGGGAGGGAGACGGTGGCAGGCTCCAGACCAGGAATATGCCTGGGGAGTGGGCACCACAGGCCCATTGAACTCACCACCCATGTCTTTAAGCACTGGGTATAATTAGAAAAGGCACAGGGGATGTGGTAACATCAGGGAAAACAGAGGTTTGCGCCTGACCGATGCTTGGAAATAACATTTCATAGTCCCAATGATGACTAAGGTGTTCGCATTTTATGTTCTGCGGGGTGCACTGTTTTTCATTTTCATCTGTCCCCCATTTCTAGAGAGGGAGAGCGAAAGATTCTTTTCTGTTTACAGCCACCGGTGGGAGCACAAATTTCAATCATGAGCCAAGTGGCCAGATCTTCAGTAGCTTGGCTAAGGGCCCCACACCTCTGGGAGAGGAAGTCTTTCTCTGTAAAGTTCTGGTGAGGGCACCTAGGCCACTGTGTTCAGTTCTGAGGCACCTTGATACCAGAGATTATCGGAGGGATTTCAGAGCAGACTCACAGAATCCATAAGGGACGGGAGGGCTTAACTTGGGAGGAAAGATAATAAATAGTTTGGCTGAACAATAGCTAAGAAAAGGGACAAGATAGGGTCCCACAAGTGCAGGAAGCTTGCAAACCCTAAGCAGAATGAATTGCCTTAGAGTGATAAGAGAAATACAACCGTGGAGAAATGAGGTGACAATAAAAGGGGGAAAAGGTTAAGCGGTATTAGGGAAAACTTCCTGTCCTGAGAGCTATTAGTCTGTGGAATAGTCTCCCAAGGAAATTGATGGACTCCTCCCTGATCTGAGATAACTAAAGCTCTTCTGGAGAAAGTTGTAGACTAAACTAGCTGGCCTATAAATCTCTTTTCTCTGTCTAACTGCCTGTGTTTGAGAACATCCAAACCACTTGGCGTACAAAATGAAGGCAGAGGCTTTTACTTTGAGATTTGAGGTATTTCCAAGTTTAAAAGTTTCATATCCCATTACCAACCTCCTGGTGATTTTGCTCAACAAGGAATTAGGCAAGGAGGTCAAAATCACCTATCAAGAGAATATTTCCTTTGAGCCCATTGTGGAAACCACAGATTTGGGGAGAGTTCAGCACTTGTGTGACAGAAAAAACGAACAACACAGTGATAACACTGCACTTCTGAGCAGAGCACTTTTAAAATACAGGTATTCAGCAGTTGAGCAATGTACAGCAGATAAAATACACATTTTCCAGCTAGGGGATACAGTGATGTGAAGAAAGATTACATGATTTGCTGAAGGCCACTGTTAGGGCTGGTTGAAAATTTTCTGCCAAAATTGTTTCATGGAAGACAACCCTTTTCACAAAAAGTATCTGTCTTCCACAGAAAGTTTCAATTTTGTTTATCAGACAATGCCTAAATACTGAGGCTGTCTACACACTGGCCACTTATTCCGGAAAATCAGCCGCTTTTCTGGAATAGCTTGCCAGCTGTCTACACTGGCCTCTTGAATTTCCGGAAAAGCACTGACGATCTACTGTAAAATCATCAGTGCTTTTCCGGAAATTCAAGGGGCCAGTGTAGACAGCACAGATTTCTTTTCCGCAAAAAAGCCCCGATCGCGAAAATGTCTACATTGGCATGGACAATTTTCCGGAAAAAGTGCTTTTTCCAGAAATACTTATAACGGAAAACTGTTCCGTTTTAAGCATTTCTGGAAAATCATGCCAGTGTAGACGTAGCCTGAAGGTTTTTATTTGGAAATGGGAGTTGTAGTTTGGTTTCTTTGTGTCTCCATTGTCCTCTGTGGGTCATGCCTCCCAGTTGGACTATATCACCTATGATGCACCATGGCCAGGGATGATGCACCACCTCTCTCTTCTCCTAGATGGGTGACCATGGTGGGAGACACAGTCCAACCATGGAGGAAAATGGGAGAACTTGGCACTCAAACTACAACCCCCATGAGATACTGTGGCAGCATTTCCAAACTGAAATATTTCATTTCGGGGGGGCAAAATAGTTCTGTGTCTAGCTAAAATATGTCAGCACGCAAAATTTTCCAGAGAAGAAAAAAACCATTTTTCAACCACCACCAATCACAGGAAGATTACAGCAGAACCAAGATGATTATCAACCAGTCCTGATGGCCATGCCCCTGCTGTAAGATCTAGCTCCCACTCCTTCTGGCATATGCTTAGGACTATAGCTATTGCTGTTACTCATCTGTGGATGAGCCGAGAGCTTCAGTATCCCAAGCCAGCACCTCCTCAGGATGTGCTAACAATCAGTTAATATCAGGCTCATTATTGGATGTATTGATTCTGCGTATGTTGTCCCCTCTGAGTCTATCTTACCTTGTAAGCTCTAAAGCCGCTGGGTGTGTGTTGTCTCATTTATTTGCAGGTAAAGTGTTTGTTCATTGTGCCATGGGGATAAGCCGCTCCGCATCTTTAGTGCTCGCTTTTTTAATGATCCATGAAAACATGACCCTTGTGGAAGCTCTAAAAATAGTGAATTCTCACCGAGAGGTCTGCCCAAATACCGGCTTCCTGAGCCAGCTCCGAGACCTGGATATCAAATTGAATGGAGAGAGGAAAGGAGCTAGAAAATCCACCACCCAAGAACTGTAATACGGAACTGCACAGAGGGAGGATGCAACATAGTCAGTATTTCCTGGATCTTTTAAACGAAGTGTGTTTTGCAAGCCGCGGGCATAAACTGAAAATGTGCCGTAACACACATTCGATATGTAAATGCTTATTTGACTTTATTATCTTTACGCTGTGCAAAGCCTGTCTAAATTTTACCAGCAGCAGACTTTGCTATGGTATTCTTCACTCCCTGCCTCCACTGTCATGAGAAATCACTGTAAACTGTTAAACAGCTGCCCAGCTCCACTCCAGAGGTGGCTGCATTTCAGTGATGTGCAGCTTTTATGTTCGCCTTTGAAGTGTTTGGATTCTTTGCGGAGGGGGTTAAAAGTTCTTTGTTATTATATTATTTGTACTGCAATAGTGCCTTCATGCCCCAATCAGAGCCCCCATGGTGCTAGAGACATTTAAGATTGTTAATGTTTTGAGGTTTTAATGTTGGCATCTGTTTGTTATAGGTTATAACAATTTGTGCAGCAGCCTGAGCCCCTTGGCTGGGCTAAGGCGGCGCTTTAGATACAGAACAGCTGGGAAAAGCTGCTGCTTTCCATACTCCTCCCCCGTGTCTTCAGCAGTAGGGGATTTTCATGAAAAGATCTTAACTTGAATGGATTTTCATCTGCTCCCCAAAAATCAAGCAGTTGCTAGAGAAAATGATTAGGCTGTCATGAAGGCCGCAGCCTGGGAACGTACAAGGCCGCAGCCTGGGAGAGTGAGAGAAAGAGAGAGAGAGTGTGTGTGTGTGTGTGTGTGAGAGAGAGAGAGAATGAGTGAGGGGGGGGGTCTTTATGTCTGAAAAGAGGATACAACTTTGCAACTTTAGTTTTTATTTATTTACAGCTTTCCCTCTCAAAATCAAGCCTACACTCACAGAAAGATCACGTTTTGGTGTATTTGCCCATCTGCAGTGAGGCAACACAAAGAGAAGCCAAGGAGGTGCTGGATTGTTAAGGGAAATCCTAACTGGTACAGGAATTTGCTGAATAGCAATATTTGGCCTTTGCCGGGAAGAAACTGCAGTAAGATCTTTTCTGTCGGCTGTCCCCAAACACCAAAACCTAATAAGTTTAATTTGTATACAACGTTTAATATCTTTATTGTGGCATTTTTACACAAGAGCACCACAGATGCTTTGCAAAGAGGAGAGAACCAATCTTTTAATATCATTCAAATTAATCTACAATTCCTAAGCAGCATCTGGTTATTGTAACAGACATATGGGTGTGTCAGAGCAGCTGTGGTTATTCATGGTGATTATGATAGGAAAATTCTATATGCGCTATCATGTGCCATTGATACTATAGCTATGAGGGTTTACTATAGGGTTCTTCTGTCTTTTCCGAAGAAGCTCTAGTTTGTTTTCCCAGCATTGCTGATTGGGGGGAATCACTAGTATGGTATTTGCACCACTTCTCTGTTAGTAAATTCCCAGCTACAGACTGCCTACAAAATGTCCCTGCAATAAGTCTTTCTCTGTGGGAGCAAGATGAGAAAACATGCTTGGAACTATGAACCCCTCTCATCAGTAGATGGCAACATAAACCCGAGGCTGAGAGGAGGAATGGAGCAAATGCAACAGTGGGTGATATGTTCACAGCTGCACATTTCAGATCACAATCCACAAGTTTTCCCATCACTTTTTCAAGAACACAAATCACTGCACCATGCTGAATGTGTCCCATTTAAGCCAGAATTACCACATCTGGGATAATTAGGAAACCTCCATCTCCACCCTGAAACTCTTAATATAAACTCTTCTGCACAGTAACAAGCTGTAAACACACACACACACACACACACACACACACACACACACACACACACACACACACACACAGCGCAAGCAGTGACGCAACCAGATTGGGATGAATTTTGTGGCACATCAAACACAGAGAAAATGGTCAATTAATCACTTGCATCCCCAGTGCAAGACGTATTTTACTCCATATTGAGGTGGAGGGTCTGTCCTGGGATTAATGAGCAGCTAGGAGGAACAGACTGGCCCAGTCTGCACTTCTGGCTATTAATTCCATCTGGTCATTAATCCTCAGGAAATTCCCTGCATTGAATGCTTTATTGCTAATTTTATCTAAGATCCTTTGAAAAAAAAATCCTAGGTGGACGAGCTATTTTATGGCACTTTCAATTGAGAGTGTGTTCAATTACTTAACAGCCCAAGGAATCCTACACTCCAGGCTCAGATTCGTAGGGGGTGGAAATCAAAATAGCTGCCACTGCTACACCAGGTGACACTGATCCCATTTAAATCTCTGTTTCTGTCTCTTGTCCCAGCTGCTTTTCTCTGTACGATGCTGGGTAGATCCAAAGGTGGAAAGAGATCATGGTTTATAATTAACTCGATTAAAAATAGAAGTGGAACACACTGAAAGTAGCAGGCAGGCTGCTAACATCTTAGGAAGAAGCTAAGCGGCATAATTTAAACAAAATTAATCCAAAACAGCACAGGGAAGGAGCCACGACTTCAAGGCAAGTACTTTTAAGCTTGTTTACAAACCAATAACACTAAACTTAATAGACGCACCGGGCAGCACGCAATTAATCATAGGCAACCATGTGAGTGGTGAAACAACTGCAGCGCTACGCCATGTTATGATCTGCATTGTCATTCTCAAAAAACTGAAACATTTGTGACGAGTTAGGTTGCTTTCCAGTTGGATTACCAGGAGGAGCAACTTGCTTGAAAAGGACTATTAAAACCATGTTGCTTTTAATTCCAGCCCAGACAGGGCATTCCTAATTGAAATAGCATGTCCTATAAGAACATCTTTCACAACATTTTATAAGGTTTCCCTGCTCTCCTGTTGGTATTTATAAGTCTTTTCCTCTGTTGGTTAGTCAGACATTGAAAAATGAAGCTGATTATGCACAAAATGCTGTCAAATACACAAAGTAAACTGAGCAAATAGATTTTTTTTTTTGGAAACCCCTTTCAGTTATAGCAATCTTAGGGGTTACTTAAAGCTAAACCAGAATTTTCAGGAAGAGAGAGGTAATTTTCGCAAATGACAGAATCCCTTGTAAATCACAATGATTGAGGCAATGCATAAGATAGGGCTGGGTAAGAATTTGCAAACTGTCGGTCTATGGGTATGTCTACGTTGCATTCCTCTTTCGAAAGAGGAATGCAAATGCAGCCAAGTGAAATTGCAAATGAAGCACGAATTTGAATTTCCCGCTCTTCATTTGCAAAATTGCATCCGGCTGCTTTTTCGAAATACCTTATTTCAAAATAAAAAAGGCTGTGTAGCCGAGGTTATTTCAAAAACAACCCCTTCTTTCGAAATAACCCTTACTCCTTATAAAATGAGGTGTAACGGTTATTTCCAAAGAAGGGTTTGTTTTCAAAATAACCGCATCTACACAGCGGTTTTTATTTCAAAATAGGGTATTTCAAAAAAAAAGCGGCAGGACGCAATTATGCAAATGAAGCACGGGAAATTCAAATCTGCGCTTCATTTGCAATTTCGCTTGACTGCATTTGCATTCCTCTCTCGAAAGAGGAATGCAGTGTAGACATACCCTAACTGTACGTCTACACTTGCACTCTAGTTCGAACTAGGGATGCAAATGTAGGTGACCGAAATTGCTAATGAAGTGGGAATTTAAATATCCCGGGCTTCATTAGCATAATCTTGCCTGCGCGCTATTCCAATCGCCAGCTGATTCGAACCAGGAAGTGTGCTCTGGGACACGTTAGTTCAAATCACACCCCTTGGTTCAAACTAATGTTACTCATTTTTTGAGGTCCCAAACGTGGCCCAGAGTGCACTTCCTAGTTCAAATCAGCTGGTGATCAGAATAGCGTGCAGGCGAGATTATGCTAATGAAACGCGGGCTATTTAAATCCCCGCTTCATTAGCGATTTTGGTCGCCTACATTTGCCTCCCTAGTTCGAACTAGGATGCAAATATAGACATACCCTAAGAGAGTAAAGAGCACAGAACAAGGAAATTCAATTAAATTAATTATGCTAAATACCCATCCGCATGGGAAATTATACACAGAGCCGTTCCAAGGCTAAGGGGACACTGGTTAAGTATTGATAGCATCGCCCTCAATATAGATAACCCCCAAGGTTCGGAGGTTTGCAGCCACCACTCCCAGGAGGTGATGGATGGACACTCTCTTCTGAGGAGGATGAAGGCGTCCGTCTGTCACCCTGACATGGCATCCTGGGAGGTAGGCTGCCTGCCATGGCCCCATATCTGAGACATTACGGAGGCATTGTTGAGGATCATTCCATCCTCTGACTACTACCCATAATACTCATTTATTTGGGCACTAATGACATTGCGAGGTACTACCCCCAGCAGATCAGAAAGGACTACGGGGCCCTGAAGTATGAGTGCAGGAGTTCAGAGTGCCGGTGGCATGCTCATCGTTCCTTCCAGTCAAGAGTAGGGGTCCAGGCAGACACAGGTGCATCCTAGAGGTGAATGCCTGGCAGCAAAGAGGGTGTCACCAGGAGAGCTTTGGCTTTCTTAACCACAGGATGCTGTTGCTGGAAGGACTGATAAGCAGTAAGGACCCCATCAAGGAAGGGGAGGCGCATATATGGATAGAGTCTGGCTAACCTAATGAGAAGGCCTTTAAATTAGATTTGAAGGGGGCAGGTGACCAAAGCCCAAAGGTAAGTCAAAAAAATGGAGATCTGCGAGATGGGTCAGAATTTTTTTTGGCAGGGGGAGAGCATGAGCTGTAATAGCAGAGATAAAAGAGAGCCAAGAGTGGAGTGGGAAATCAAATCCGTTTCCTAAATGTCTGCATATTAATGCAAGAAGTCTGGGGAAGAAGCAGGAAGAACTTGTAATGCTAGTAAACAAACACAACTATGACATAGATGGTATCAAAGAAATGGTGGGATAACGGGCATGACTGAAGTAGGGTACAGTTGGCCAGGAAGGAAAAAAGGGAAGAGGAGTTGCCGCCTTGTATACAGGAGACCCTCACGTTTTGCAGAATTGCTATTTGTGATTTCGCATATGTGCAAATCCCTTTCTTGCCACCACCCTGCTCTCCCCTTCATCCTCCAGCCTGGAGGATAGACGTGGCTTTGGGGAGGCCTGTTGCTGGGCAGAAGCAGCAGTCAGGCACCTCCGCAGGAAAATGGAAAGCTCGTTCTGCTTCCCACTGCCCCTAGTGTTTGTGGATTTTGCCATTCACAGTGGTGGCAAGAAAGTAGGCAAACGGTGAGAGTTTCCCGTATTACAAATGTATATGCTTGGCCTGAGGTTGAGATGGAAATAGGAGACAGGCTTGTTGAAAGTCTCTGGGTAGAGAGAACAGAGGTGAAAAGCCAGGGTGGTGTCATTGTAGGGGTCTATTACAGATCACCTACCCAAGTGGATGAGGCTTTGTTTAAACAACTAAATCATCCAACGCACAGGACATGAGGGCAATGGGGGACTTCAACCATCCAGACATCTGTTGGGAAACTAACGCTCCAGGGCACAGTTTATCCAACAAGTCCTTGGAAGGCATTGGAGACAGACTGGTTTAGATTTGATTTTGACAAACGGAGAGGGACTGGTTGAGAATTTGAACGTAGAAGGAAGCTTGGGGGAAGTGGTCATGAAATGGTAGAGCTTGTGGTTCTGAGGAAGGATAGGAGGGAGAACAGCAAAATAAAGACAGCTGGCAATCTTTCAAAGAGACATTATCAAGGGTAAAAGAGCAAACTATTTCACTGTGTAGGAAAGATAAGGAAGTGTAATAAGAAACCACCCTGGCTCAACCAGCAGATATTCAATGACCTAAAAAATCAAAAAGGAATCCTATAAGAAGTGGAAACTAGGATGAATGAATATAAACAATCACAAATATGTAGGGGCAAAATTAGAAAGGCTAAGGTGCCCAACAAGATCCGACTAGCTAGAGATATAAGGGGTAACAAGAAAACATTGTGCAAAATACATTACAAGCAAGAGGAAGACCAAGGACAGGGTAGACCCATTACTCAATGAAGAGGGGAAAACAAGAGCAGAAAATGTGGAAACGGCAGATGTGCTTAATGACTTATTTTGCTTTTCACCAGGAAGATTGGTGGTGATTGGGCACTTAACATAGGGAATACCAATGAAAACGGAGTAGGTAGAA